GTATGCAAAGAGATCTTTTAGACTTAACTGTGTGAAAGAAGTAGTATCTGAGGAAATAGACTATGAAAATGTATGCTACAACTTCTTTCACATAGTTAGTCTCAAAGGTACTACAGGATCTATTTGCATGCAAGGGGAAAACATTCAGCAGGCTAGGGGGAACCCCAGCTTCTGCAAATAAAAATGGAAAAAAATAGCCCCCTCCTTGGCTATAAAAATATAGCCAAGAAGGCTGAATATTTCACAAAACTACAAATCCCAGAATTCCATAGTATTGAGCCATCATAGTTAAAGTGGTATTAAACTTGATTATTTCTGCAGTGTGGATGAAATCAGAGAGAAGTCCCTCCCCTGAGCTAGATCTAGATCAAGGGAAGTAATAGTACCACTCTATCCTGCTTTGGTCAGGCCCCACCTGGAATACTGTGTCCAGTTCTGGGCACCACAGTTCAAAAAGGATGTTGAAAAACTGGAGCGTGTCCAGAGGAGGGTGACTAAAATGGTGAAGGGTCTGGAAACCATGAATCCCTATGAGGAACGACTTAGGGAACTGGGTAAGTTTAGCCTGGAGAAGAGACGGTTAACAGGGGATATGATAGCCCTCTTGAAATATTTGAAAGGATGCCATATTGAGGAGGGAGCTAACTTGTTTTCTTCTGCTCCAGAGAATAGGACTCAGAACAACGGATGCAAGCTACAGGAAAAGAGATTCAACCTCAACATTAGGAGGAACTTTCTGACAGTGAGAGCTGTTTGACAATGGATCACACTCCCTCCGAGGATTGTTGAGTCTTCTTCTTTGGAGGTCTTTAAGTAGAGGCTGGATGGCCATCTGTCAGGGATACTTTGATTGCGAGTTCCTGCATGGCAGGGGGTTGGACTGGATGGCCCTTATGGTCTCTTCCAACTCTATGATTCTATTTCAAAACAAGTGTAGGCTCATATGTGGTGATACAGTCTGTTAGATAGCCCGGAGCTACATCAAATTGGGCTTTATACAAGTTCTAATCAGCACATTTACCTGTGACCAGAAATGGACCAACGGCCAGTGGAGCTGCTGCAACAAGGAAGTTGTATACCGCCTCCATAGCCAACCTCAGTTAACAATCTGGATGTAGCTCTTTGGACCAGCTAAAGTTTATGACTATCATTCAAATCAGCCCCACGTAGAACATGTTGTGTGTGTGTATGCATACCTTCAGAACAGCTGCCACTTATTCCGTACACATGAATTTCAAAGGTTTCTCATAGGCAAGGAATACTCAGAGATGGTTTCCCATTGTCTTCCTCTGTAATATAGCTTTCAGCACCTGGTACTCTTTGGGGTTTCCTATCCAAGCACTAACTAGGACTGACCCTGCTTAGCTTCCTAGATCAGATGTGATCTGGTGCCTTCACGTATTCAGATCTGTTTTTTAGCTATCTGATCAATCATATCTCTAGCTGTTTTGATAGTCCATGAACAAAACGTGACCTGGGGGCACATGCAGTCCTGTCTATATTTGGCCCTGCCTGCTGGTTGAAAAAGAATTAATCAAAGAAAAGGAGAATCACCATTCCTGAGAACAGCCAGGACTGGCAGTTTCTAAAGCAAGGCACACATCCTTACATGAGTAATAAATAAATGTGATCATTCCCCAATCATGTTTGTCATTTTTTTCCATCCCTTCGCCAGCTTTGTAAGTCTAGCAGCAAGATGGTTTATAAGAACCAATTTTGGCAGTGGCAAGAAGAGTATCCCGGGATGATCCCAAGGCCTTCTGTTGTCATGACTTTGGCTGGAAGCAGCATAAAACTATGACAGGAGCCTGGAGACTCACTTCAGTAACATTAAAACAAGCTCCAAGTGTGAATTCAAAATCTAATGTATGCTATAATCCTTTGGGCCATGATTGCTGGAGAGAGCCCATTAATATGGAAAGCAGGATGGAGCTATTTTTGGCTGACGGTAACACATCTGGGGTTGTCAAACCACCAGTGTTGGATACACAGTGAAAGGAAATATGACAGTTGCCACATTCAAACACGCATGCTGACAGATACAGATTTACAGGATTATTTCAAACACCTCAGCCAGTATTCAGGTAGGGATGGGAATCTTGCAGCATTCCAGATATTATTGGACTGCAACTCCTAGCATTTCTTACCATAGGCTGTGCTGGAGAGGGATGCTGGGGCTTGCATTCCAATAATATCAGGAGGCCTGTAGGAGTCCCACTCCTAGTTTAGATTTAAAGTCTAAGTCAAATGTAAACTCTGGTGGCTGAAATTTTCAATTAGCAGTTTGTCTCACTGGATGTTATCACACAGGGGCAAATCTGCTGGTTAATCCACACAA